CCCCAATAACATTTACCGCCCCCCCCAAGTGGTGAAAAGCCAAGGGACAGCCCTGGCTATGACAGTCAGAGTCTTGCAATGCCTTATGGCACTTGTAGTTGCATTACATCTAGAAGGCCTAGTTTGCCTACCTCTGACCTATATGCACATTTTCAGTGTGGTCAATGACTTTCCCAGTAATGAATAATGCATACAAGTGACAAGCCTGGAACCTGCACCTTCAGAAATGAGTCAGCAATGGTAGTTCCTGTAGTTCTATCATGACGGGTGCCCTTTTATAGATTGTAAGTCAATTCCTTACCGCCTAGGCTGTGATGAGACAGCATGCTAAGCCGTTTCTCCAACTGCAGAGTCTCATGGGCCACTCTGTCCTCCATGTAAGCAGGGTTTAAATTTGGATCTTAAAGCAAATAAACATGAAATCAGTTGGCAATTTAAGAACTGAGACCTTACAAAACAAAGAATAATAAAGCCATTATTGTATCATTAGATTTATAGACTATATCATCAAATTCATAAAAAAAACAAAGGTATAACTGCACACAAATAGATTTCTCCTTTTAGAATACAGTAGGGCAGTATTTATTCTCTTCTCACCCCTGTATTGCCATCACAGGCTAAGAATTGAGCTGAGCTACTTGTGTCACCAGCTTGGGAGTTCATAATGTTATCCTATGGGGATGCCACTAGAGGGCAGATGATACAGCATTTTTGATTCTTGCATTATCTACCAGCTTCTTCAATGGAATATGGGAAAATCTTAGGCTGGTGATAGTCATAGTCCTTGAGGTGGTAATGAGGAGATCTCCCTTGGAAATAATAATAATAATTTGACTTGGCGGTATAATAATTATTTCACCTTACTGTAACACAAGAAGACCCATTGATGATGTTCTAACCAAGAAACTGAGTAAATGCAATTAAAATAAGCTTCTGCGTGCCATTCTATGAATAGCAGGTGGTAATTCTTCTAGAATGTTCCATTCTTCGTAGATTTACTTTACCCAACCCCCCAGCCTTCTCCTCCTCTGCAACCTTAAACCCTTTAGGATACTGAGACGTCAGTATGCATGTTTATAATTGGATTTGCAGTGCATTCTGGGGCATACAGCATTAGCACATTGAGTACATACTTCCCTTTTAGTCATATCATGCGCAGATTAAGAACCTATATAGAGCCACATTACATTGCGTCATCCTAAAGAAATGCAATTGTGTAATCCTTACGCAGCATGTCACCAACATCTAGAACATTCAGGGTATTGATGTTGTAGAAAATAGGCAGTATAACGAAAATGTAAACACTATACAGCACTGCAAATCACGGTGATGCCATTCATGGGGCAATAACCGACTACTACCCATTACATTCAGATATTTTAGAGATGAACGCTGATGTACACCTCGCACATATCGGTGTTCCTGATAGAATAAGTCTCAAGAAGTTCATTGAAAATAGATCTTTCATAAGCATTTGAAAAAAAATACCTCCAGTTTGTTAATTTTGAAGGTAATTAACAGCAGCTCTAAGATGGCGTAGAGACACAGGCATGCAAACATACCCTGCTCTTTACTGCACAGAGGGGCCACTGTATAGTAAATATCAGGACATGTTTGCGCTGGGATGCCATCATGAATGTGACAGCTTCCCATGTGGATGTTTGGTTGCAAGGATGCTGGTGACCTGTGCTGGGAATGCTGGCTGATGTCATTACTCAAACATGGCAAATATGGCAATGGCTATATTTGGTCAATTATGTCAACTGGCATTCCCACCCCTTTGTTTAAATTCAGGTTTCGGCTGTGAAATCTCCTGGCCAGCAGCTGAATTAGGCCAGCAACAGCCTTCCAGGGAATATGGCCAGGGACAGCGTCCCTGCAATCAAAGACACGCAGAGCCTGATGGGGAATCCATGAGAGAGACTACTTTCCGATCAGGTTCACCTAACGTGGGTGGATTCTAAAGCCAATGCTGTCCTTCCTCATGATTGACAGTGGACAGCACTGGGCAGATTTTATAGCCGCTGACTATGGATCTCTTTATGATAGATAGATAGATAGATAGATAGATAGATAGATAGATAGATAGATAGATAGATAGATAGATAGATAGATAGATATTGTGCACAGTATAATATCTGCTTCTATATAACTTGATTTACAGCGTTACGCTGCGTCCCTTATATTAACCTGGGAGTACTGGGCGAAGTCCAAAGGGTCCTTTCGTTGGAGAGATGCCTCGGACAATACAGTCGAAAAGGAAACTGATCTGATCTCCTTCTGAACTTGAGAGGAAAAACACACCAGCCCCTGTCAAGAGATTGCACAGAAGAAGTTTTAAAAATTTTCATCAAATATGTTGTTTGTATTTATCATTTAAAATCATAATTCCTGACTTCTAAGAATACAAATAAAGGAGAATTTATAGCAAGAGTGCTTCCGCAAATGAGAGTTCTATGCTCTTCATGCAAATTGGACGTTGAATTGTCAAAGCATTTACACATCTGAAGCTATAATTGGACTTGGCTCTTTATCATTATGTTCATCCTTCCAGACTATGAAAGATCCAGTGACAGAGCAATTAATACAAAGCAAGCCATTACTACCAATAGTTTATTTTTCAGCTGTGGAGAAAATGTACATAAATGTGCAAATAACAGTTATGAAAAATGAACAGATGAGCCCAAAAAAACCTCTCTCTCTCACTCTCTATCTATCTCTCTCTATCTATCTCTCTCTATCTATCGATCGCTCTACTTTTTTTTTTAAACTGAATATATACAAACAGGGCTTTTTGTTGTCCAAATGGGAGCCCCATAATGTTATTTTTAACTGGGGCCCAGTATAGCTGTCTATTGTTTTTTTACTATGGTCTCTACTCTTGACTGATGGATTCATCAATTCCATCTTCTTAATGAAGTTCCCAATAAAAACACGGACTGCGCAACATGGATTTCAACTGTCACAGCACCCGTTTATTTAACCATATAACAATTAATAGTTACCAATCACAATAAAACGCTTTTTATCCCCCTCTTTTGTGAGTACCATTTATCACTTTTAATCTTTCTAAACAAATAAAAGGATTATTTGCACCAGGAAAAGCGCCCGGTGTTTCTCTTTTATGTTTTACACAGTATAATCCCTCATCTGTAACGGGGCGGCCTGTCTGGAACACAAGATTCAATTTGTGGCTGAAGGAGGTTCCTATCTGGCGCTGGTTTTGCTTTTTGTGGAATTAAGGTCCTACCTATAACCTGACCCTTGAACTCCAGGTAAGTCTGCTGTTTTAGCTCCAATCTATAACCCTCCTCCCAGTCATGTAGCTCCAATCTATAACCCTCCTCCTAGTCATGTAGCTCCAATCTATAACCCTCCTCCCAGTGGCGTCACAAGGAGGGTGCGGCCCGCACCCGGGTGACACCATTGGAGGAGTGACACCAAAATGACTCACAGGATCGCACACGCGTGGTGATGTCACGCACATGCGCTGTGACGTCTCGGCGGGGTGACACTCGGTTACCACTCTGGGTGTCACCCAGCCTCGGGTCGCCCCTGCCTCCTCCCAGTCATGTAGCTCTAATCTATAACCCTCCTCCCAGTCATGTAGCTACAATCTATAACCTCCTAGTCATGTAGCTCCAATCTATAACCCTCCTCCCAGTCATGTAGCTCCAATCTATAACCCTCCTCCTAGTCATGTAGCTCCAATCTATAACCCTCCTCCCAGTCATGTAGCTCCAATCTTTAACCCCACTCCCAGTCATGTAGCACCAATATTTAACCCTCCTCCCTGTCATGTAACCCCGGCTTTAACCCTCCTCCCCTAGTCCCCCCTTCCAGTCATGTAACCACTCCACCTATCTCCAGGTTTCTCTTTCTTTCCTCCAGACTTACAGATCAACCCTAAAAACTACATGGCCCAGTACATAATTTAACATTTTGTACCTTATTTTGTGCCAGCTGAAAAGACTGGAGGTTTAGCCCACAGCAACCTATTGCATTCCACGTGTAGTTTTTCTTTAGCTGGTGTGCTAATGTAAGGACATGTGACTGATTGCCTTCTTTCATTCCTGCTCTACTATACACTGTAGCTCTTAAAGTAGACCTATACTATTTAAAAACATCAGGCTAAAACTCTCTGTAAAATAAAATTGCATGTTTAACTTACCTCCTGATTCTTCCCTTATCTAATAAATACATGGTGCTCCTGCCAGTGTCTTCATCCCACAAGGTGACAATGCTGAATGCTCAGCAGTCAATTCACTGCATCTTTGTCATTCTGTACACCTGCCTTAGCCACTAGGACTACAGAATTGCATTGTTGCGTACACTGAGAAGGAACGTTATTATCAGTGCTGTCACTAATGACAACCCTCTCCCTCAATGCAAGTCAGCGCCGGACACATCTCTTTCCACAGACCCCCATGCATTGTGACTGTCCACATTGCCTGGGGAGAAGAGAGAGCATGGTTGCTTAGCATCTTGAGGAGATTATATAGGGTACCATATTTAATTCCTCTTGGATTCCTCCTCCCAGCTTTGGTGGAGTGATGACTTCAACAGTCCATGGGATGACATCACAGGGGCAAAAAAAGGATCGCTTCACTCCAAGAGAAAGAAAATATATATATTTTTTTTAAATGAACATAGAGGGACATTAAGGTGCCTGCAGACAAAGAAAATAAACCTGGTACAGCCATTTACAGGGGTACCTAGGGGTACTTGATTGGTAGGTGGGATCAATCATACAATGCAGATTTTTACGAGACAGCTGGTGCCCCCTCCTTCCTCCATATACATAAACATGCAAATCCACAGAAGCTTTTATAAGGATTATTCTTAAGAATGATGATGGTTTGACAGCTGGATTATGCATGAATGGTAGCTGGCCATCAAATGGTTTTTATAAGTTTTAACCAAGGAAGTTGCAAAAATCCTTATAACAACAAGTGACTCCAGACTCTTTAACTCCAGACATGTCCATCATGGTCCTAGGAAGAGACAGTAGCCATGAATGCCTAGCAAAGTTAATCTCATGTACCTACGAGTCATGTCAGCTATCCACGCTGTGATGCTTAAATAAAGTAAGACTCTCTGCCAGCCGCATGCCATTCTGGTATAATTAGCAATGTTTGTAGCTGTGTTGTACATAGGTTAGATGACCACAGCACATAATTCACTATATCTATTTGTGTTTTATAAGAGCTAAATTTGAAGAGCAGCAACAACAACACAGAGAAGGTATAAACTAGCAACAAGTTGTTTTGTATTAACCAACCGTCATAGTGATTACAGGGGCGCCTTGCCGTCTGCAAAACATAACATGCCTTATTAAGGTGGTTTTTTTTATTTTGTGAGCAGCTCAAAGAACCTTAAAGCAAACCTGTCCTGAGCCCATGCAGGACAAATCAACAGGTTTACTTTACAGGCAGCCCCACCAGCAGCTTAGACAGTACTTACCTTCCCTTCACTCATTAGGGCCTTAATTCAGCCACTGGCAGCAAAGAACTGGAAGCAAAGTACTTCTGGGTATGGGGTAGCATGTGACTCCCACCTGACAGCACTGGTGCTTGGCCACTCAAACACACCCGGCACTGCAACACGGGGATGGGGATAGAGTGTTGCAGTGCATTGTTAGTTTGAAATCATGTACAGCAACTTACACATGGCTTCCTCTCTTCACTCTCATTGGCCAAATGTAGTGGTAGAGAAGCAAAGAAAAGATGATTATGGGGGATTATATAGCTTGTGGGGCTTTCCATTTCTTTGCACTGCATGGGCAAAGCACTGGTTCACTTCAACAACAGAACCAAACCCTGTATTTTATTTGTTCAATCAAATACACTGAAGACAAATGTTATGTTCATGTTAACATATCAAGATTATGTTTGTGGAGGTTCCAGTGTGGAAATACACTGCCTGGGCAAAAAAAAAAGTCAAACACTCTAATATGTTGTTGGACCGTCTTTAGCTTTTATTTCGCCACGTATAATTTCACTAAGCTTATAGAATGTCACAACATTTATTTCCATCCAGAGTTGCATCCATTTTTCGCCAAGATCTTGGACTGATGATGGGAGAGTCGGACCATTGTCTAAAGTCTTCTTCAGCACATCCCAAAGATTCTCAATGGGGTTAAGGTCTGGACTCTGTAGTGGCCAATCCATGTGTGACAAGGATGTCTCATGCTCCCTGAACCACTCTTTCACAATCTGAGCCCGGTGACTCCTGGTATTGTCATCTTGGAATATGTCCAATGTGCCATCAGGGAAGAAAAAAATCCATTGATGGAAAAACCTGGTCATTAAGTATATTCAGGTAGGCAGCTGACCTCATTTGTTGCCAGATGAAATATATTATTCACTGCAGTAATTATCCAATAGAAGGTTCTTACCTTTTTGTTTAGCTAAATCCAGGTGGGAACTTTTTTGGTCAGGCAATATATTTTCTGCCAAAGAATGCCCTCTAGTAATGAACTTTACTTTTCTTCTAGTAGTAGTATACGAACAGACCGCACTATCCAGAGAATTCCAATACTACAGACTGTATTGAAATTCACAGCAAATCCAGTATAACAGTGAATAAAAGTGTATAAAGCAGCAAATACCCACACCGCAAAACCCCCAACCAGCTAAAACCTCTCACATGTTCCACCTATAGGCTTATTCAAAGAGGTAACAAATACAGACCAGTATCTCACTTAAATGTGCTCAAAAACTCCACCCTACACAGATGCAGGAAGCAATGCTCACTGATGGATTGGTTAACTCATTTCTTCTAGTGTTATTTTAAGTTCTACTGCACTTTTTACAGTGTCGAATAGGTGTGGTGGCCTCATTGCAGCACTCATAGCAATACAGTTGTCAGACATTAAAGGGGCATCATAATCATGAAAAGGGATAAGTGAAATTGAGTGTTTTTATTTCCCTGAAATTTTGGCAAAAATCAGGAAATTGTGAAGTTTCTCTATTTTGGTAAAATGCAACAAATTTATTGGATATTAAATTATTTACATTTTATTAAAAAGCATTTAAAAGCTTTCAAACAAGCCATCCATGAACTCTCTTGCTTGTACTCTGAAATAATTCATTCTCAAAGTTCCTCAAAAATCATAACAAAGAAACTTAAAGAGCAACTGAAGCCAAGACTTTATTTTTGTAGTTTTGAATACAGTGGAGAGGGATTAGAACACCTGTAATGTTTGTATTGCTGTCTGTGTCCCCACTGGGGAGTAATGTGTCAGTTACAGCTGATGCTATCACACGCTAGTGCAAGAGGCATCGCGTGTTGGATTTGTCGATGCCTGT